TTAGAGTGCCCAAAGTAAAAATACCTAACAAATTATCGTTTCTATCCATACTTTCAATAAAGAGCACCTACAATCAGTTTTTAAAAATATGACTAACAGAAAAAGCATATGAATGAGCAATTTGTGAAAAAATATAAATGGTCAATAAACATGTAGCTTCACTCCTGTTTAAATATAGAAAATTAATCTACAGTGAGTTTTCTTTCTACCTATAAGACTGTGGGGGGAGGGGTTAAAAAGGATGGCAATATTTCAGTGATGGCAAAGAAGTAGGGAAATTGACATTCTTATTTACTGTTCTTTGTTCCTTTATAGACAAGGTGTTTTTTTAACCCTCTCTGTTATCCCTCCGGCTTATTTCAGGATTTTTTCAGTTTGGGAGGTTTCTATGAAGGTCTCCATTGCTATATCCTTTAACTCAGAAATTCTTTCCTCGACTGTGCCCAGTCTGCTAACAAGCCCATTAAAAGCATTCTTGCCCTAACCGGTTTGGCTCAGTGGATAGAGCGATAGAGCGTCGGCCTGTGGACTCAAGGGTCCCAGGTTCGATTCCAGTCAAGGGTATGTACCTTGGTTGCGGGCATATACCCAGTAGGGCAGTGGTTCTCAACCTTCTGGCCCTTTAAATACCGTTCCTCATGTTGTGACCCAACCATAAAATTATTTTCGTTGCTACTTCATAACTGTAATGTTGCTACTGTTGTGTATCGTAATGTAAATATCTGATATGCAGGATGGTCTTAGGTGACCCGTGTGAAAGGGTCATTCAACCGCCAATGGTTTCACGACCCACAGGTTGAGAACCGCTGCAGTAGGGGGTGTGCAGGAGGCAGCTGATCGATGTTTCTCTCTCATCGATGTTTCTAACTCTCCCTCCCCTTCCTCTCTGTAAAAAAATCAATAAAATATATTTAATTTAAAAAAGCATTCTTCATTTTGGTTACAGTGTTTTTGATCTCTAGCATTTCTCTTTGGTTCTTTTTTGGAATTTCCATCTCTGGGTTAACCTTGCCCACCTCTTCTTTTATGCTTTTTACTTTGTCCATTTGAGCCCTTAGCATATTAATCATAAATGTTTTAAATTCCTAGCCTGATCATTGCAACATCCTTGTTATGTCTAGTTCTTGTGCTTGCTCTGTCTTTTCCAGTTGTGTTTTTGGTCTTTTAGTATGCCTTGTAATTTTTTCTTGTTAGCTGGACATGATATACTGGATAAAAGGAACTGCTATAAAGAGGTTTTTGGTGGTAGTGAGGTGTGGGGGAGGGGAAGTGCTTTTAGCCCTATAATCAATCAGGCCTCAGTCTTAGTGAGCCTGTGCCTCTGGGCTTCTGTTTTCTCCATCCCCCTTAGGTGGCACAGAATGGCTCGTGTGGGTCAGAGCTGGGTATTTCCCTTCCCCAGGTCAGTTAGGCTCTGGTCATCTCCCAGCAGGTAGGCTCTGGCCAACTAGGCTCTCCTCAGGGCAGACCTTGTTAGGAAGAGCAGAGTGCTCTGGGTTTTTCAAGATTTTCTCTCAATAAGACTTTTCTCCGATACTTATTGTGGGAACCTGCTTGGGCTCCTGGAGGTAAAACTCACAAAAATGTGAGCGACCCCTACGATGGGTCCCCTGGAGTTTCTAACTCTCAGACTTGTCCACGTGTAGCCTCCAGCACATGGTCAGTCCCAGTGGAGGTTTTCCTGCCTGGGTGATGTTCCTGCGGTGGTTTCAGCTGCTGAGTCTCTGCTCCTGGAAACGGGACTCTGTATGCACCTCTCTGTCTCTCCAATTTTGGGGGCAGCAGTTTGTCCTGTGTCCTCACCTCTTTTACGGATTTAAGAAGAATTGTTGATTTTTCAGTTTGTTAGGATGCAGTAATGACTTCTAAGCTCCTTACATGCAGAACCAGAAACTGTCCGATTTGCTATTGGTGGAGTGGAAATTGGTATAGCATTTATTAAAGCAGTCTTAATTATCTACTAAAACTGCAGCTGTGCATGCCCCTTGTCCTAGCATTTCCACCTTTGGACATACTAGCATGATGAACAAAAATGTAAGTATCAGAATATTTTTTGGCAGCAGTATTTTTAATATAGGAATAAAATATGATATATTTACACAATGGAATGCTATCCAGTAACTAAAAAGAAATGATGTAGCTCAGTATATCCTGACATGGAAAGAAGTTCAGACATATTGTAAAGTGAAAGGAGAAAAAAAAGGAAGTTTCATAATGGTTTGTTTAAGATTCAATTTTTGTTTAAAACTTAGTCAAAGTAAAAATGAAGGCATGCTTAGAAAAGAAAGACAATTTTGAGAGAATACATATCAGAAAAACTATTGGTTGTCTTTAGGAACAATATTATAAGAAGGATGTTAATATATTAATGACAATTGTGTTTTCTATGGTGAATATGTATTTTAAAATTAGGTAAAAATTCAAGAAAGAAAATGGGTGGGGACCGATAGAGCTAATTGAGAACAACGGAACGGAACTAATTATTTCCGTCAATCTTTCCTACATCAGGCAAAAGTGCAATAATAATATCTGACTCTAAATTTTAATTTACCGTCTGAGAATAGGTAAAGATAGGCCCAAATAAATAGAAATTTTAAATCCCTTGTGTTTCTTTTGTTCTTCAGAAGCAGCCATAGATGACAAAGGTTCCAAACAGAAGTGTTTTACCAGTGAATGTTTTCATGTAGAGTTGTTGTTTTTTATTGTTAATCCTTTTAGTAAAAATTTTTATCAAGAAAAATTTCCCCCTCTGCTGAGAAGCAGTTTCTTTGGTTCTGTATGTCAAGATTAGTGGTTTGTTGTACCCAAGAGATGTTTATAATGGAATCTTGACAACATGTATCTCTCCCTTTAAAAAGCTGCAGTGCCCTGGCCAGTGTGGCTCAGTTGGTTGGGTGTTGTCTTGTGCACCAAAGGGTTGCCGGTTCAATTCCCAGTTGGGGCACATGCCCGGGTTACAGGTTCAACTTCCAGTGGGGGACGTGCAGGAGGCAGCCGGGATTGATGTTTCTCTCTCACATCAATGTTTTTCTCTCTCCCTCTCCCTTGCTCTCTCTCAAAATCAATAAAAAATATTTTTTAAAGATCAATTTAAAAAGCTGACTAAGAAGTAGATTAGTGGAGCAGTAATAACTGTGAAAACTGTTTGACTTCTGTTATAAAGTATGGTTTATGTCTACAGTTTTCCTGCTGGAATGGCATCTAAGCGTTCTGCAGGAAGACTGAGTGTAGACTTCTGAGTTACTTGTCCTGTCTGACTAAATTTCATTTCCTGCTTACATCCTATTTTGGGTTCCTGGACCCAATCCCAACATGTGTGTAGTGGGGGAGATTCCCACACAACAAGCAATTCTCAGACACCAGCGGAGTATCCAAGAATTCAGCTCAATTCTGACGCTGTCTACTCAGAGGCAGCCTCAGATCCCACAGGTTAAGGGCTTAGTCCTGAAAGAGTGCCTCCCTCCCCCAAAAAAGCCCCCACTTTCAGGAACAAGTAACGTGTCCAGGTTTTTACATGGACTTTTGACCAGCTATAAATCAGAGGTTCCCAAGACCCCTCCTTGAGTTTAATAAATTTTCTAGAGCAGCTCTCACAACTTTGAAATATTTTACTTAAAAGATCACTGGTTTATTATAAAAGAACTAGAGGCCTGATGCACGAAACTTGTGCAAGAGTAGGCCTTCCTTCCCCCAGCTGTCGGCACCGGCTTCCCTCCAGTCGCCGGCAGGCACCCGGGACTCGGGCTTCCCTCGCAGCTCCGGCTTCGTCTGGAAGGTCATCCAGAAGGACGTCCATAAGGACATCTGGTCTAATTAGCATATTACGCTTTTATTATTATAGATATAACTCAGTAACGTCCAGATGGTAGAGATGCATAGAGTAAGGCCTGGGGAAAGGTATGGAGCTTCCATTTTCGCTCCCGGCACACCATTCTCCCAGCACCTCCACCAACCTGGAAGCTCTCTGAACCCTGTCCCTACGGGTTTTATGAAGGTTTCATTACATAGGCATGACCATTAAATCATCGGCTATTCTCTTGCCCCTCTCTCATCCCCGGAGGTTGAGGTTTGGCACTGAAAGTTCCAACCATCTAATCACATGGTTGACTCTATTGGCAACCAGCCCTTACTTAGGTGCTTTCCAAAAGTCACCTCATTAACATAAGAGACATCTTTAAGCCAGTGGTTCTCAACCTTGGCTGCACATTAGAATCACCTGGGAATCTTTTTAAAATCCTGATTTCCCGCCGAAACCGGTTTGGCTCAGTGGATAGAGCGTCGGCCTGCGGACTGAAAGGTCCCAGGTTCGATTCCAGTCAAGGGCATGTACCTGGGTTGCGGGCACATCCCCAGTGGGAGATGTGCAGGAGGCAGCTGATCGATGTTTCTCTCTCATCGATGTTTCTAACTCTCTATCTCTCTCCCTTCCTCTCTGTAAAAAATCAATAAAATATATTAAAAAAAAGATAAATAAAAATAAAATAAAATAAAATCCTGATTTCTGGGCCTCATCCTCCAGAAATTCTGTTTCTTTGTTATGGGATGGGGCCACAACATTAGTAACAAAGAAACAGAATTTCCAGAGGATGAGGCCCAGAAATCAGGATTTTAAAAAGATTCCCAGGTGATTCTAATGTGCAGCCAAGGTTGAGAACCACTGCTTTAAGCGCTCATCACCTAGGAAATTCCAAGGATTTTAGGAGCTGTAGGCCAGGAACCATCAATGAAAACCAAATATATATAATCAAATATATATACAGGATACCTCAGAATATGTATATGCACTTCAAATGATTATAAAGTTAGTGCTTATTAACACTGAAAAGGAGTGAAAATTAAGTGAGTTATCTGCTGTTAAAGTGTGTGTGTGTGTATTTCTTATAAATCACAATATCATACATCCTAACATAGTTTTTCCCTATTATGACATATATTATTCTAAATGGTTAATTTTATATAATGATTTGTTATTGTTTTACCCTCTGTGAATTTCCCAACAGAGGTTCCAGAGGGGACTTGGGGGCCAAAAAGAAAAAGAAGAAACAGAAGAGAAAAAAGGAGAAACCAAATTCCGGAGGCACCAAGTCAGACTCTGCATCTGATTCCCAGGAGATTAAGATTCAACAGCCTTCAAAAGTGAGAGCCCTGTTTTATTTTAATCTGTGTGGTTCCTCATGCATTTGAGAGCAGGTTTGTGCAGCTTAGCCCCCTGTTGGATCAGAAATGTAGTGAGGGTTTTGTTGTGACTGTACTGTGACAGTAACCAGAGGGTACTTAAAGCCTTTTTAAATCTGACGTCTGCACCCAGATAACAGAGAGGTACATTTTGTGCTTTTGTATGTACTAGGATACCGCCTGCATATTTCTCAGCAAATTAGTATATAGATTATAATCATAGAACAAAGTCTCAGTGTGAGCTATTGGGCTGTGTTTTTTTTAAGTTACACTTACTATTTGATAACTATTAGTTCAGAAGATATTCACATTTTAATTTTTCTGGGTGTCTGTCTAATTATCTGAATAGCACAACATCATCTGGCAGCAGATTTCAGCGGGAGCAGCCACGGGTAAGTCTTACATTGACTTTGAATCAGAACAGTCTTCAGTGGCCATTCTTAATTCCATTGCTACGGGTGGGAAATAGTGCCTAATGTCTTCCCTGAAGAAACACCCATTTAACCAAACTGGAAGTTATCTGCCTGGGCACTGTGCTGGCAGATTGGTACAGCTGGTGGTGCAGCTGGCAGGCACCCTTTCTGGAGAGCCAACCCCAATCACCCTAGCTGTGAACACAGGCCTTGTGTGCTGGGCCCTGCGAAGCACAGAGCCTTCTTGATGCAAGAAATTCGCAGCCAAAAGGGGTAGAATTAGAAGTATAATGAAAGAGAGTTATTTTGATGCGTGTAGTGTGTGTCATGGGAGGGGCTCAGGAGGTGCCATGGGGAACCCGGGCTCTGTCCTGACCCACGGTGCTCAAGCTTGGCCTTTGCACAGGGTTCTGCCCCTCCTTAAGCCCATTTCCTCATCTGCAAAATGGGGATGATGCCTTCTCCCCAACTCACAGGGTTGTTATGAAGTTATAATTAGATCATTTTTACAAAATGGTTTTTATATTATAAAGCACTCTGTCTACCTGGCAGTTATAAACCACTATGCAAGTTTTGTGGGGTTAAAATTTTTATTCTTGTACAAAGTTTGTTTGCATTGTATCGTGTGAAGTGAATCTTGCAGGTAGTTTTGTTGTTGTTGCCTGTTTTACACTTAAGGACCAGGAATCACTGAGAAGGAAAATTACTTGCCCCAATTTCCCCCTGATTGCCTTTGTGGGGTAAGAAGAAAATGGAGTCTTCCTCCCTAGCTTTTCACCTTGGTTCTCAGGTAATAAATATTCTATCCACCGGACATAATTTCCAAGGTAACTCATGTAAGGTACACCATAAGCTTGCAAGATTTTTTTTTCACATTTCTAAACGTTGCTTCGTCAGATAAACACGGTGTCACATATATGCAGTTGTGACCATTTCCTTATTGCTTCTATCATCACCATCAGCTTCTCATCTCTGAAACCTAGTTATTTTGAGCTCTCCCCTGTTCCTGGTCACTTATAAGAAACTAGAGCCAGCCAAGGCTGGAGAAACTATTAGCATTATATGGTAGAGAAATTCTTTTCTTTTTAAAATTAAGAATAAGTTAAAATTGTTTAAATGTGGGCTATTCTCCATAGAATTTTTTAAAAGTTAGGCTCATTTCTTTTAAGCTGATGCCAGCTCTAGCTAACACTGTAAATTGCTGTGGACCCTGCTTAGAGAATATGCTGGTGTACACTCAAGAACCAGAATGAAATATTTGTCTGGGTTCTTGTAGATTTTCAAAGTATTAAATTTGGAAAATAATAGGTGAAGAGAACAGTTGTGGTGCTTATATCATAGGAGCAGATAAGGAGGAAAAGAGGCCTGCCTGACTCTCTTAGGAATATTTAGTGGGAAGCTAATGTGGGTTGGTATACATTCTCACCTTTCCTAACACTAATTCATTCCTCCCCAGGTGGTGCTCCTACTGAAGGTGGATGGATAGGTTTAAGAGTTTATCCTAGCTGAGTTTTCCTTACTGCTTTGTCACCATGGATTTGAAAATTGTGCTTACTTTAATCTACTTTAAGAAAGCATTTAAATTAATCATATGCTACTGGGATATAAATTAATCCCAATGGAATGTAAATTCATAAATGGCGATTTCGTGTAAACACTACTAGAAAGCACTCCGAGTGCCTCTTACTGGAGTTGGGATGTCATTGGCTCCCTCGGCACGAAGATGCTGACTCGTGTTTGTTATAAAAGAGTTGCAGTTTGCTACGTTAGTGTTAGCGGATTTGACTCGCATTAGGGAGGAAGAACTACCATGACAAGTTCAGGGAAGACACTAGAGGTCTGTTCTGAAAGAGTGGGTTCTACTCTGCCTTTTTAAAGATAAATGGGTGCATGTTCACGCACTATTAGCTGATGTGCTGTGCTCTTAATTCCTGTTTGGGGCATAGGTCTCCTAACAGGCTGTGCTGCTGGGGGTCCATTTGACTATAGATTTTCACTTTGCTAGAAACTAGTTACTTTATTTTGGAGATTCCAAAGAGATGCAAATGAGAAATTACGACATGCACTAGCCTTTTTAGAACAGCAAAAGTATTTTGTTAAATTAGTATGTATAATTGAGTTATGTCCCTTATGATTTAGACTTTAGTCAAAATAAAGGATAAACAGCTTACAAAACTCGTGGCAGTCCTGGCTGATGCTGTTAGACTTATAAGGGAAGATGTTAAGACTGTAACCAACTCTGGTTAGACTCCAGCACTTTGTTTCCTTGAATCATGTTAGTGGCAAGAATCTCAAGGGAATCCAGTGAGCAAAGCAACACAGGACAGTCTGTATTAAATTAACCCCGTTTTGTACCTGGTCAAACAAGTAAGCCTCCAGGTTAGAAGATTTGCTCCAGACCACACACATGAGGGTCAAAGTTGAGCAGAAGTTCAGAGCTACTGTTTATACACCATTGAGGGTCAGTGGTCCCTTTCCTTGGTGTCCACGGTGTGTTGGCATACAGGCAGCCTAAGGGCTCTGAAACTCCTTATAACCACTTCTGAACTGCAGTGAAGAGCTAGCATTCTTTGGATGGCATCAAAAGCATATGGCAAACCCGATATCCGTATTCAGTCCTACATACTATTCATTCTCTAATTTTGAGAATAGTTTCATTTTGCAGGCAGTGTGACATTAGTTGAGGGACTTTACAAAAAAAGAGCTGGGGAATCTTCAAATGACAAAAATATTGGCTTTGAGGAAGGAACTTTAGAATTTAAAGGTATTATCAACTTTATAGACTGAAAATATGTTTTACCTTATAAAAAGGAGTTTAGTTTCGAACAGGCTAGGGTGGCCCCTGATTTGAATTCCCAGAGGACACTGCTGGTCCTTGTTGGAAGGTTTGTTTCCGGGGTGTCAGGGTGAGGAGAGGGAGGTGTGGTCCAGGAGGAAGGCATCCCTAGAGGTTTCCTTTCCTGATTCACTTTCTTCTCAGCTCGTACTAAATTCAGATTCCGTTCGTTCTTCTTCTTAATGAACTTGTCTGCCTAGTTTCCATCCTGGAAGTTATTTCCTTTGTGCCCACATTGCTACTGCAGAGCATTAACCCTGACAATGAAAGCAAGGCTAGTGGCTGGCTGGCTGCCGAATGACAGTAATGCATGTGTTGCATGTCACCCCTTTTTGCTGCTCCGCTCAGATGAGTAATGGTCAAGCCATTTGCAGATGGTTGGGAAACTAGAGTGAAGGGTAGTTCTGTTTACTGTAGCTTTCCCAGACTGTCAGAGCCCCAGTAAAACTATAGAGCCGTGGTTATTTTTAACATAATATTGCTTACATCTTAATGTGTTAGCATACATGAGGCCAAGGCCCTGACCAGCTTTAGAGGAAAACTACTTGTTTTTCGGTGTTGTAGTCTCCAAGGCAGATGCACGTGTCTCTGCCCCAGGTTTGGAGTGGCGGCAGCTTCCTCACAGTCTGTGTCTGTGTGTCTTTGCTGTTGCAGAATCCTGCCATCCCAGTGCAGAAGTTGCAGGACATCCAGAGAGCAATGGAGCTGTTGTCGGCGTGCCAGGGCCCCACCAGGAACATCGGTGAGGCTGCCAAACACAGATACCAGTTTTGGGACACACAGCCGGTACCCAAACTAAGTAAGCTTTTCTGCTTTTCTCCTCTCGCCCTCCCCAGAACAAAGCTGGGTTAACAACAATCAAAAAACACAAAAGAGGCTTTATTTCACTTATATAACTTGTTTCATACCACAGGTTAGAAATTTATACAAAAGTAATACTTTTCTTCTTAAAAGTTAATATCCATCACCACACATAGTTACAGAATTGTTTTTGTAATGAGAACTTTTAAGATTTATTCTCTTAGCAAACTTTCAAATATGTACTATATTATGAATTATAGTCACCATGCTATACATTAAAGGACTTATTTATCTTATAACTGAAAGTTTGTACCTTTTGACCCCCTTTACTCACTTCTCCACCCTCCGTCTCCTGCCTCTGACAACCACCAATCTGTTTTCTGTATCCATGAGTTCGTTTTGGTTTTCCTATTTTTTTAGATGCCACATATAAGTGATATCATATGGGAATTTGTCTTTCTCTGTCTGACTTTTTTCACTTAGCATAACACCTTCAAGGTCTATCCATGTTGTCCAAATGGCATGATTTCCTTCTTTTTTATGGCTGAATTATATTTAGCAGATATTTGTTGTGTGTTTGTTATTAAATGCCAGGCACCGGGGTACATATTGGGAAAATAGTGGCATGAAAGTAGGGTAAGTGGTGGCCAGGTAGGGGTTGGGAGGAGGATATACTCCAGGTAGGAAAAAGCTTTAGTCAGGGAAGGATGCTGTGAGAAAGCTGTGTGTAAACTTATATCTGAAAAAATTTAAGTGGCCAGCCGAGTAAAGAGCATGGAGAGGGCCTTGCGAGGGCTCTGAGCTGGGGCCAGCATGGGGGCAGTCAGTGTGGCTAAGCCTGGGAGCTGGGCCGGGTGGGGGTCCCAGGGGGCCAGGCAGGCAGCGGCATGGTCGGAGTCTGGGTTTTATCCCAGCCACATTGGGGAACTGCAGGGAAGAAATGGGAAAAGGGCACCTTTGTGCAAATTGCTAAGACATCGATGACTTGAACTGTGCTGCCAGCAATCCAGGTGGAGAGACAGTAACAGTTCTGAAATTAATTTTAGATTTTGCTGGAAGTGGTCAGAGGTCACTGCAGCCTTCTCCCCTCACTCCGTCCCCTGTCCCCCCTCCTCCAGTTACTTGAAGTGCAGAATAAAAGTCTGTCATCAAACCTCTGTTGTCTCCCATGGTGCTTGCTGTACAATTAATCTGTAATCTCGGGGTCGAGACAGAAATCACCATCGTTTCATTGTACACTTTGTCATTGTATGACAGAGGATTTCTCCTTTTAGTGGTGAAATAGCTGTTATTCTCCACCCCTACCTAGCCACCCTTTTTCACTCTAGAAGTAGCTGAAATAATAGTATGTTAATGATTATATTAACCCCAAGGGCCCTAAACATGGTTTTATTTTATGTAACGGACCATTTTGGATCATCAGAATGCTTTGTAACTGAATAGTCTCTCTTTTTGTCTTCTATTCTCTCCTCTTCAGATGAAGTGATAACATCTCATGGTGCAATTGAAGCAGATAAAGACAATGTGCGCCAAGAACCGTACTCCTTGCCACAGGGCTTTATGTGGGACACGTTAGATTTGGGTAATGCAGAAGTGGTGAGTAAAACGCTCAAATTCAACACTTGCGTTCATGCGGATTGCTTCTGAGTGGGTTCTGAGCACCATAAACCCACACCTGTTTGGTCTTGCAGCTCAAGGAGTTGTACACCTTGTTAAATGAGAATTACGTAGAGGACGATGACAACATGTTCCGGTTTGACTATTCGCCCGAGTTCCTGCTGTGGTGAGTCTTGCTGGCCTCCCTGGCTGTGGCGGGGCGGCGGGCTGGCGCGCCTCGGTCTGTCCCTGTATTCTTGGACACTAACTGGCCCCTGTTTTCCTTGCCTACGTTGACTTCAGGGCCCTGCGTCCCCCAGGCTGGCTTCTTCAGTGGCACTGTGGAGTCAGAGTGTCTTCGAACAAAAAACTGGTAGGGTTCATAAGTGCCATCCCAGCAAACATTCGGATTTACGACAGGTACGTATGAAAGCTTGCCCGTGTCAGTTTTGATGTGTTGCTTTTTCAAGGATTGCAGTTATAAGAGGCTTTTAAAAGTGACTTAATCCAGGCTATTGATAGAGGGGAGGTTGTGGGGGGAGGGAGAGAGTATGGGGGAACTCTGCACATTCTGCTCACTTTTGAACTTAAAACTGCTCTAAAAAATAAAGTCTATTGATTTTTTAAACATTGGTTTGTGAACAACAAAAAGGACAACTCTCTTTTTCTTCCTCTGCTTCTCAGTCTCATACATGCACACACAGAGATATGTTTGTACATATCTGAACACACATGTGCATGTATATATGAATGTAACGGAATAGATAAAGCTATAAATAGGTATTTTAGATTTATTTCTGGGGAAATTACTTTAGAAAGTTTTAGGAGAGGTTTTTTAAAAGTCTTTCTCTTTCATAGGATAAGTGTGTGTTGCATTTTTGGTTTGGGTCTTCAGTCTAGAAAGTCAAAGACCCAGCTCTTGAAAGTCAAAGATCTAGTACATAATAGATCGTTTTACCTTTCAATACAATGGGTTGTTTGCTGCTAAAAAACATTTGCTCCAAAGGAATGCTGTGTGCTGAATGAAATGCTTGCATACCTGCATACCCGGGAATGGGCTTTGGAGCTCTAGAAGGTTTAGTGTAGCTCAGAATAGCACCAGGTCTGGTCTGGTCTGGTCGCGGCACCTCTCAGGGGTCCTGGGGATTGCATTATATCCAGAGCCACATCTTATCAGATTCTGCATGTGGGTGACCAGTGATGCCATAATTGTATACATTACAGGAAAAACACATAGAGAAACTCTGAGGCACCTCAGGTCCAGTTTCTAAACCAAAAACTTTTTAAAAACTTCAAACAAAGTCCTAAAATTTATTTAGAATAAGAGATTTGCATCTCTGTAGTCTAGAGTTATAAAGTAGGGGTGTATGGAAAATAGTGTTTCGGTCTGAATTTGTGAAATGTCTAGAGCTGTGGTCGGCAAACCAGCTCGAGAGCCACATGCGGCTCTTTGGCCCCTTGAGTGTAGCTCTTCCTAAGCCTTAGGAGTACCCTAATTAAGTTAATAACAATGTACCTACCTATGTAGTTTAAGTTTAAAAAATTTGGCTCTCAAAAGAAATTTCAATCATTGTACTGTTGATATTTGGCTCTGTTGACTAATGAGTTTGCCATCCACTGGTCTAGAGGAAAGAATATATTTCTTTAATATTAGATATAAGGAAGTCTTTCCGTTTTTATTCTTTGAAATTTTATGTGTGTTGTCTTATTTTAAAAAACATGTTCATCTTATGTTTGCTCTGGTTTTCTTTATTTCTTAGTGTGAAGAAGATGGTGGAAATCAACTTTCTTTGTGTTCATAAAAAATTGAGATCAAAACGGGTAGCCCCAGTGTTAATTCGAGAAATAACTAGAAGAGTGAACCTGGAAGGGATTTTCCAGGCCGTTTATACTGCTGGCGTGGTTCTTCCGAAGCCAGTGGCCACATGCAGGTAATAGCAACACCCTTACCTTGCATCTTACCTGTACCTAAACATTAGCCTTCCTACCCTGTTGCTGGAAGTGTTATTCTCACTTGTGAGTTGTATAGCTCAGAGGGATTTTGGCTGACCTGTGATTATGTAGTTGGTTGATAGCAGAGATGGAGACTAGAAGCAAGAACCACTGAATCCAGTCTTCTTTCCAGTTACCGTACAGCCACTTGTATGCCAACGATCTGGAGCTGTATTTCAGTGTCTCTTCCATTTGAAAGATTGGAAGGTCTGATCTGGTCGAGGCACCTCTCAGGGGTCCTGGGGATTGCATTATATCCAGAGCAACATCTTATCGGATTCTGCATGTGGGTGACCCAGTTATGCCCTAATTGTATACATTACAGGAAAAACACATAGAGAAACCCCGGGCATCATGATGTGGAAATATCCAGGGTGGTACCATTTCCTTTTCTCCTCTAACACTCAGTCTTATACGTGCTCTGCAGTGCTGTTCCAAATGTCTGGTAAAAAAGCCTAGACATTCTTGTTTGCTAAGAATAAGAAAAGGCATAAGCTCTGATTTTATGACTCAGTCTGCTCTTACCAAGCTTTCAGAGGTTAATCCAGGGAGAAAATTGAGTGTCAGGTTGTCACTTGACTAACCTGTTTCTGAAGAATCAGTTTCTCTCCCTCCACTATTTTCATTTATTCAAATAAAATGAAACTTCAGGTAAACATAGTATAAAAAAATTAAACCATAAAGTTACTATGTCCTATGAAATTATTCATAAATAAACAGGATAAATAAGACTTCACAGGTGCATATTGGAGCTCTTGTGGCGCAATTGGGTAGCGCTTGGTACTTATAGTTACATGTTAATACAAATCATTTAGCCCAGTACCTAAACTGGGATCACTTAAGAAATTCAAGCTTGTTTCATGCCCTGGTTGGTGTGACTCAATTAGTTGGGTGTTGTCCTGTGCACTAAAGGTTGCCAGTTTGATTCCCAGTTGGAGCACATGCCCCAGTTGCGGGTTTGCTCCCCCATCAGGGTGTGTATGGGAGACAACTGATCAATGTTTCTCTCTCTCTCCCTCTCTCTTCCTCTCTCTCTGAAACCAACTTAAAAAAAAATGTTGTTTTATTGGTTGTTTGTTAGATAAATATGAAGGCTGTACTGATTTAGGGGAATATTTTCAAGTTTTTAAACTTTTGGGTTGCTTTCTATAGAATCAGGGATGGTTATGAAATACTTGCAAACTGGTCATTATTAATAAGACTTTTACAATTTTAAGATACCTCTATACTGAAAGAGATGAAAGATCACAAACTACAGAGGAACATAACTAGGGATGCAGGGCACAGTTTAGAGGTAAAAAATGACTGATAAAATAAAGAAATAATTGCATTGGAAGAGGGACCGCATCCAGCATTGTGCCAGGCATAACATAAGTATTCATTAAATGTTCTACCACAGCTGAGCTAGACAGAGTAAAAACTTGGAGAGTCAGAAATCAGTCCGACTTTCAAACTTTATTGTATTCCAGATACTGGCATCGGTCACTAAACCCCAGAAAATTGGTAGAAGTGAAATTTTCTCACTTGAGTAGAAACATGACTTTACAGAGAACAATGAAGCTGTACAGACTTCCAGATGTAAGTAAAAACAATTTGCAGTTTTTCAAGACTGTAATGACTGAAACTTTCAATGTAGAAAAGAATTATTTGCAGGAATCTAAAAAACTGGCTTATGTATCTGAAGATATGAATAGGTAGCTAAAAGGTCTACATAGAATTCAGGGGTGAGGAAAAATAAGGAAGTTCACTTGGAAATACCAATTTGTTTTTTAAGTCTAAGTACTTCAGTTTTTGGTTGGATGGGATTAAACGCAAGACGTAAGTTTTGAAATTTTGAGTACTTATGGTTTGTTAAGTAAAAGGGAAGAAAAGTTTCAGGCTTCTGATGAAATCTTAATGCAATGGAACTAAGGTATAAGGTTAAAAGGAGGGACCTGGGAGAGGAAATAATGTCTTATAAATAAATTATCATCTTTTTAAACTAGCAAATTCCCAACATGAAAAATTGTCTGTATTTTAATAGGGGAAAATGTATTTGTTCTTATTATTTAAACTTTTTGTTTTAATTTCATCCAGCCCCTCAACACTCTCCCCTTTGGAAAACATCAGCTTATTTCTATATCTAAGCTGTTTTGTTTAATTTATTCATTTGTTATTGGCTTTGTTTTTTAGATTCCACATATAAGTGAAATCATACGGTATTTGTCTTTCTCTGACTATTCCACTTATCATAATACTTTCTAGGTCCATCCATGTTGTTGCAAATGGCAACATTTCATTCTTTTTTATTGCTGAGTAATATTCTATTGTAAAAATTTAAATGTTTACCATCTTGGCTTGGATGGTGTATTAGTTATCTATTGCTGTGTAACAAGTGACTACAAATGTAGCAGCTTAAAACAATACATTTACTGTCTCCCAGTTCTGTGGGCCAGGAATGAAGGCACAGCTAGCTGAGGCCTCTGCTTCAGGGTCTCTCATGAAGCTGCCACCAAGGCGTCAGCCCGGTCTCACCTGGAAACCTGCAGGGATGACTCCACGTCCAAGCTCACATGGCTGTTGTCAGGCGTGAGTTCCTTGCGGGCAGCTGGACGAGGGCTCAGTTCCTTGCTGACTGTCCGCCCTAGCCGCCATCAGTTCTTTGCCACATGGGGTTCTCCCCACGGGGGCTTACAACATGGCAGCTTGTTCATCAGAACCAGTGAGGAGAGCGTCCATAGAGACTCTCCCAGCAGATGGACGTTAGAACCTTACTCCCAATTCACAAAAGTGGCATCCAGTCACCATCGCCATGTTCCATTGGTTAGACACCAGTCACAGGTCCACCGGCACTTGAGAGGAGTGATCCCAAGGGAGTGAGTACCAGGAGGCCATCTAGAATCTCTCTGCCACGGATGGGATCTTTTGTTTGAAGTTTGATTTCTTCGGAGTTATTCTATTTTGGGGGTATTTACAAAGCAGTTTAGTTAATATTTTAACTTGGTTGAGGGAGTCATGTAGAATATAGCCATGTTCCTCTCGAACTGTGACCATTCTGGGTGCAGCACACTCCAGTTCTTTTTGCCTTTTGACCAGTTGTTTGCCAAATGCAGGTAATCAGTGGCTGCAGAATTGATGTCTTTTTTCTGATAATAGACGAGAATCACCTAATGTCTGACCTTAGGCAGAACTTAATAAGGAGAGAAGTGGAGGTGAAGGAAAGCAGGTGTTGGACGTGTCAGGGTCATCATTCTTGGGCTTCACGACCTGGCAGCGGGATCAGAAACATGCCCTTCCCTGTGTCTTAGCTGCTGTTACAGAAGTGGGGCTCGGACTAATGAGCTCACTGCCTCTCTGTGAGGCTTAGCAGGGAGGGGCTGTGTAGATCAGAGCAGATGGAAATAAAAAACGCAGTGACCTGAAGAAGGAGGGTGCACACAACCTGGGGAGGAAGGAGCAGGCCTCTCCAGCTATGGGGCAGAAAGGAAATGAAGAAATAGGAAGATGTTCAGAGAGGTCACACTGTTGCCATGACAATCAGTATTTACTGATTCTTTTGAAACTAGAAACAGTTTATGGTAATGGCCAAGACCTAGAGCACAGTCACAGGGACACAGATGGCAGTGAGAATAAAGGGCACCACACCCAGCTGAGATGAAACACGCCCTCGGTAGGCACTGTTCATTCTCAGCGTCCCCCTTGCCAGTTGTTAACTGCTTTGCTACCTGTCAGTTGAATTTAAAACTTGAAGCTCTCCTGCTTTTCTCACGAGAGGCTAATGCTCTTCTGTTTTGGTCTCCCCAGATTTCAGCTTGTTGACTAAGGCACTCTAGTTTGTATCTAAGGAAAGTGCCCACTTATATGTAGGTTGCCCAAAATGGAATGAAGAATAAGGAGTTTTAATACCTATCATGGGCTTATTCAGGATGATTAGAATTTGAGCTGCTAACAGTATTTTGACTTTTTGACTTGACTTTGTCCATTAAACTAAAGTTATAAAGGGTTCTCACTTATGTTATTCAGTATACTAGAGGCCTGGTGCATGAAATTCGTGCAGTGTGTGTGTGTGTGTGTGTGTGTGTGTGTGTGTGTGTGTTTGTGTGTGTGTTTCCTCAGCCCGGCCTGCACCCTCTTGCAGTCCGGGACCCCTTGGGGGATGTCCGCCTGCCAGCTTAGACCCACAGTCAGACATCCCTCTCGCAGTCCGGGGCTCTCACAGTCCGGGACCCCTCACTCCTTACCACATGCCTGCAGTGGAGGCGGGAGAGGCTCTCACCAGCTGTGAGCCTGGCTTCTGGCTGAGTGGTGCTGGACGATGAGAGCCCCGTGGGAGCACACTGACCACCAGGGGCAGCTCCTGCATTGAGCGTCTGCCCCCCGATGGTCAGTGCACGTCATAGCGTTCCGCCGTTCGGTTGATTCACATATTAGGGTTTTATTATATAGGGTAGGGTTCTTACAATAACCTTTTGAAGTTGGTACTTCTTATCCCCATTTTACAGATGAAAAGGCCGAGGCTTGTGAAATGTAACACTTAGATAGGGCATGTCATTAATAAGTGATGGTCTTGGTATGCAGGCCCCAGACTTCCATTTTTTGCCTGTTAGATCTCTTTACTTCTGCAGTCGACTCTTAACACACCTCTTGTGGGGGCATCATTGCTCAGTCCTACCAAATGTCTCTCTGTATAGTCATTAGAGTTTAGGTTAAGACAGGAAAGGACGATTGTCAAGGCCCAAACAGCTCTCGTTGGCATGTTTCAGTCATAGAGAAGGGAAGAAAGATAAAGAGTAAATAATTGAGAAAAAAGAGGGGGTAGAAGAGATGAAAGTACAGAATTTGGAAAATTGGAAGGTGCCGACAGCAGTCACTTGAGTTAGAAGCTGTACAATGCAGCGTACACCAGCCCTCCTCCCTCACAGGCCCAGATGGATGCTGCCACCCCTAGCAATCGCGTTATTTAAGGATAGGTTTGTATTATTAAGCCTAAAGAGAACAACTTTGTTGAGTGCAACTTTTGCCCTGTGGATGTCTTATTTTCTGATTCATTATTACTGTTTCTGCTTACAGTGCTGCTTTATGTCTTTTTTGTAGACTTCTGAATACGAGTTAACATTCATTGTGGCCAGCATCATGCTAGACATTGCACATCTGTAGTCTTATTTATTTATTTATTTATTTATTTATTTAGAACAGTCATAGGCGGGCAGGTCCCTTTCCCTGTTTTGCAAAAGAGGATATGGAAACACCAGACTCATTTGCCCAGAGGTTTAAAGTCAGGACAGAACTATGCAGGAGCCCATGCCATTAACTACTGCTAACTCAAATACTAAGGTTTCTCCAAGACTAATGCATTTCTCTACCCTTTAAATGCTGGTTTGTGAGCATTTCCAAACAAAGTTGGATTCTTTTTGTCAGATTTTTAAAAAACAGATAAAGAACAGGATTCAGATTAATCTCCCAGCTTTCTGCTGTGTTGCAAGGAAGACATGTGAAGACACGCAAGATGTTCTAGATTTAGTAGCAGTAGACGATTTTTTTTAATGTCTTATTTTTTTTAGTATTTAGTGTCCTACTGCTCCTTTTTTTAAATCAAATAAATAACCATAATCACTGCTTACATCTCCACTCTGGAATCTTGCCTCTAAAACAGACATGCCTCATAGTCTGACATACAACACTGCTTCTGTTTTTTGATAGACTCTGAGCTTTATTTCCTTATGCCCATATAAGCAGATGTTACACACATTTCATATACAGAGTCCAATGAGTAATGCATATTAGTTGGACTGTGGGAAAGTAAGTCTGGTTGAGATAAGAATTTTCTGGTGAAATTTAAGATTTTCTCAGTTACTGGAAAACAGTTTTTGTGTTTTATTGCACACTCAGAAAACATTACCACTTCCCTCTTTCAGATTATGCCAGTTATCATTTTTATCTAAGCTTTGTGTTCTTCCCATCTCTTCCTAAAGACAACAGCTAAAATTTGAGTGTTTCTGGTTTACATTTTAAATTTTATTTCATGCTTCTCTAGATTTTTTTTTTGAAGAGTATATAACTTCACGATGTCAGAAAGAAGCAAGTTTAGGCCCTGAGATCAATAAGCCATTGTTGGTCCGCAAAAGTAAATATTCTCCCCCTGTTTCTTAGGACGTTATGTTATTTTACTAGAGGTCTGCACCCTTTCACAGTCTGGGACCCCTCAGGGGATGTCCACCTGCTGGCTTAGGCGGGCCTAAGTTGGAAGTTGGATGTCCTTAGTGCTGTTGCGGAAGTGGGAGAGGCTCCTGCTACCACTGCTGTGTTGGCCAGCCATGAGCCAGCTTCTGGCTGAGCGATGCTCCCCCTGTGGAAACGCACTGACCACCAAAAGGCAGCTCCTATGTTGAGCGTCCGCCCCCTGGTGGTCAGTGCGCATCATAGCAACCAGTTGTTCCTGGTCGTTCTGCTGTTAAGGTCAATTTGCATATTACCCTTTTATTATATAGGATAGCTGACTAGTCTGTTCTCTTGTGCTTTACTGCTTCTGTGAAAACTTGAAGTGCTTATAAATTGCTAAGTTTATATACTTTCTCCTGACTATTTGTCCAGGCTTACTG